TCATTAAAATTATAATGAAACAGCTGTTAGAAATTTGACTGGAGTCACCCTAGAATAAATAGTTTTATGCGCATTTTGTAAAGATTGGTTTGGATTTATAAATTGAAATTTTTTATAAAAAGTTCTTATATTCTAACATAAAAAAAAATTCCCATCATACTCCTTTTATTAAAACTTCCCCATTTATTAGATCAGGATTAAAATTACCAATCCTTTTTTATTACCACCGTCTCCCCATGTAATAAATACAAGAGAGTATCTACTTTGTTTAAAACGTTGCATTACTTTAATATTATAAAATTTTAAAAAGGTACTGCAATACAACAATTATCATTGTTTAACTTAGTGCACTTAAAATCTTTTGACTAGTTAGCCAACATACTTTATGATCTTTTAACAGATCAGAAAATTTTTTACTATGTAATAAATAAAATGCAATAAACAAAATTCACAACTTAATGCTTTCAAGATCATCAAATCTTCTTTGGTCAAAAAAGGTTCTAAAAATACCTAAACACTTTGGGAAGATTATTTTTTTTTAAAAATGGTTAAATTAACCTTTAATAAAACCCAAATTAAGAAAATACTCCACTGAACCAGGCAACACTGTTGCCTGGTTCAGTCTTTAATTCTATTTAAAAATCATTATTTAAATAGAATTAAAGAATTTAAACATTTGCATATATGCAATATTATGTATAAATTTTATATGTAGGGGGTTTAAAAAATATTTTTTTGAATTTGAAAAACCAAACTAGAACTTAATTAAATCTAGAATTGAAGCATATATGTTTAACTTAAATCCCTAAAAATTTGAGCTCCATTAAATCACTCTTTCCTTTTCCTCAAAGAGCATATATGGAAAAAAAATGACATCAAAATGACTAAAAACGGCAAATTTAAGTGTCTTGAGGCCAAGACTGACATAAATAATTTTATATATTTTTTTCTAGGACATAAATATCTTAATTCTTAATTAAAAATAGTTTACATTTTAAATCGACTGAAACTTAGTTTTTACATTTAAGTTAGTTTAGTTTAGATTTAAATTTAGTTATTTTTTTAGTCATTACATAACTACTATTATTATATTAAATTGCAATGAAAATGTATAAGGAAATAAGAAATTTAGAGGTCGTTTTGCAAATGTAAGGAGTTTTTATACCAATTCTTTTATTTACTTATCGTCTCTGATTGTTTGTCTGTGAGCATCAAATCTTGTAATAAATTTTTGAGTCACTTCCTGATGATAGATTTTCTTCAAATTTTGCATACTTACACTAGCTTGATGACAATACAATATTCAATAACTAGTTTTGTAATAAGTCAATTAATTTAGTTAACTTTAATTAAGTTTATTTTTTTTAAGAAAAATATAACAATAATTTTTAAAATAAGTATATTGATTGTTTTCATACTTATATGCACATTTAGCATATTTGGATATGGTGTTGACTTTGTAAACAAAATGTCTGTGGTTCAAGACCCATATCTTCCTAAACATTTTTTTTTTTTTACACAAGCATACAACCGAATGTTAATAAAATAAAATAGTAATATCAGAAAAAATTGATTGCAAAATTTGTGTATAACATTGTGTATAGCAGATACAGTAAAAGTATACAACTTTTTGAATAAGAAACAAGCAAGAATGAGTTTTGGTTTATTGTAATAGAGATGATAGTTTGTTTGAGCATTGACCATGATTGTATTTGTAGAAAAAAGAAATGCAACCTTAGAACAATGGGAGAGTGGCTTAAGCTTGGGAGATAAAGCAGGTCTAATTACAATTGCAATTTGCGTTTAGACTTTGTCTGAGGGTAAGAAGGTTACTATATAACATTATAGGAATGCCTACAATATTGAAATATTTTTTTGCACTAAATAAATCAGTTTTGTTGTCTAATAAAAGTTGTGGATTTTAAGTCTGGATTTAAAATCCACAAGCCACTGCAAGCCTTAGGCTGTTACAGAAAAAAGTGAAGACTTTTTGTCAAGAGAAGAGTATTAAGTTGAGTCGTTAGGAAATAGAGCTACTTTAGATTTAATGAAGATCGTTATTGTAGGTAAGTAACAATATAGGAGAAAAGGTACAACCTTGTGGTACCCTTAAAGTTATTTAGAATAAAGAAGATGGTAGGCTTTAAATAACAATTTTACTACTGCAGTTGGAAAAAAGAACGTTTAATAACCTCAAAATCTTTATATGAAGAAACTAATAAGATAGAAAAAGCTAATTGTAGGATAGTTGGAGAGGTCAAAGTGTTTTCTAGAATTTTAAAAAATTAGAACCACTTAACTAGCACATTATAAAAGTTTAGCAACAATTGAAGAGAGTTTTGGAGAACACTTTTCGAACTATGATGGAAATCTATTATGAAGCACAAACTGTAGAAGTGTTTAAATAAGAATTAACTTTATCTTTGGAAGCCATTGAAAGAGTGATTTGGATAACAATGATTTAATCTGTTAAAGTGTTAGGAAGAGTACGGCTATTATATTCAAGAGTCAAATAAGGATAAGATTTCTTTGCAAATAAATCTGCTTTATTCTAGGGAGAAGTAAAAAAAAACACATGAACTTAAGATTAAATGTTAGACTTACTTTAGTTAACGACAATGTTGAAGACAAACTAAAAGTCTCTGAAATCAAACATCTGAGAAAGATACAAGATTTAGTAAACTGAGAATAACAGAGCTTAACATCATACAGGACTTTTTTACATTAGCTTTTTGCAATAATAAAAGGAAATTTGTTCTTAAGAGAGATGTTCTTGTAAAAAAGATGAAAAAAAAAATCATTATTGTTTAATAAGCAACTGCTCAAGATGATGAAAAATGTGGAGTATAATGAGGCTTGAATTAAAATTGAAGAGAAGTAATAAAAGCTTCCAAACTTTATTTCAGAAAAGCTGAAAGTTTCCTAGATGCATTTTATCCATACATATTATGGATATAAACATATCTGATTACTATTTATTTAGATGCAGACATACTATATCCGTTTATTGTTATATAAACTTTAGAATTTATGGAATAGTATTTGTAGAAAGTAAAAAACGATTAGATGAATGTGTGGTGTGACTAAACAGATGAATGTGTGGTGTGACATAAAAAAGAAGGCATAATCTTAGACAGATTCAACAAAATATTGTATTAAACAATGTTAAACAAAGATAAATTAATTTAAGCATCAACATATAGAGATGTAGCAGCTTCAGTAGAAAATGGTAGTGGTAGAAGGAAAACTTAAAGAGAGTGCCTTACATATTGTATGAATGAGCTTTAGTTAAGAAAAAAAATGCAGGGATGCATTCAAACAATGGGTAATTGATGGAAAACCTAAACATGTAATTATCTTTGAAAGAATGAAAAAAACTCAAACAGTATTTAAACTTGCTTATAGGTACTGTAAAAAATCATACTGAGCAAATTAAAGCTGACAGAGGTTACAGAGAATATCAATGATGTTAAGGCAACCAATCATGTTGCTAGTATTGGCAGAGTTACTGGTGACAAGGACATTACCACTATATGGAAGAAACATTTTCAAGCAATATATAATTCACTTAATGATAACCAGCATAGAAAACAGGTTGAGCAGAAAGTGCATTCTTCATTACTAGACATACCTGTTAGAGTTACTATAATAGATGTAACTAATCCTTTGTATAAGCAAAAAAAGAGAAAATCTGCTGGACCAGAAAACTTGTTTATGGAATCATTTATATATGGAGGACATAGAATGTCTCTTTATCTAAGTATTTTTTTTAATTTATGCTTGTTGTATGGACATTTGCCATTAACCTTCTTAAGCCACGATAATAATTCTAGTAAAATCTAAAATCAGAGACTTAACAGATGTAAATAATTACAGAGTAATTGCAATCTCTCCCGCTTGTTATAAAATATTTGAAGGTATTTGATTAGAATGAATCATATTTATGCGGTAGTGGTGTAGTGGTAGAGCGCTCGCTTCATAAACGAGTGGTTCGGAGTTCGATCCCCACCACGTCCCTGGTAGTACCGCGCTCAACTCGTTTCTCCGCGCAGCGGCCTTGTTTGTCAAGGTTCGTGTTTCGGAGTTATAGAGTTGAGAGAGGGTTATAGCCACAAAATAAGTAGCCTCCTCGTCTGTAGTGGCCTTCTCGGCCTTGAGGAGGTGAAGTAAAATAAAAAAAAAAAAAAAAAAAAAAAAAATTTTATGAGAATACTGATGATTTTCAGTTTGGTTTCAAGAAAAGTCATTCCACAATGTCTTGTACATATTATTAAAAAAAGACAGTTCAATACTTTATTTCTAGAGGAAGCCATGTATTTACATGCTTTATAGATTTTATACCATTAATTATTGGAAACTGTTTTTTAAATTAATTGATAAGGGTATTGCCATAAATGTTGCCTATCTACTTGCATTTTGGTACAAGAATCAAACTATGTTTGTCAGATGGCAGAAAGTAAATTCTGACAGCTTTAACATGAGCAATTGTGTACAGCAAGGTAGAAATCTTTCACTGTTCTTGTTCATATTTTATATAAGATTACTGATTTTTAATATTACGAATTTTGTTACATAAGTGAAACTTTTTTGAATCTTTTGGCATATGCTTAACTACATAGAATACTTCAATGGATATATTTTATGAAAGAATATACATACATAAGGATTTGTGTCAAGCAACTTGTGCAGAAAAAAAGAACATTGACATATTTATCAAAATTTCTCTAAAACAGTTGCTAAATGTTGTTAAACACAACAAATAAAAAAAAAAGTAAATCATGTAGAGAATGAAAGATATAAAATAGCAAATAATCAAAAAAAAAATAATATTAAAATAGCTTAAAAGAAAAAAATATAAAAAATTTTTTTATGATAAAAATATTTTGATATCTATATCTTTTCTCTTTAAAAAAATAATGACATAAAACAAAATTTATTCTTTGTACATATGTATATTTATTAAAATTGCACCAAAGTTTGATAACAAACAACTTACTTACCCAAAATAGAAACCAAAAGTGAAGACTCCTCTTTTGATTTTTTAGAAGGATTCAGGTTAACAAGAAACTTTAATATAATATTTTGGTTGTTATTGCTTAATCCACAAATCATTGATAAACAACTCTCCAGCTTTTTATTGGCCATAATCTCTTCAAAGCTTAAACAATTGTATGCATATACAGATGCACAAAACTCCATTACAGTCAAATGTGCGAATTGGTAAAAATAACCTAGATGTGTTTCAACCCTTTCAATAAAACCAAAAAGACTTTCATCAACTTCATTAAAGTTATTGATAAATAGTAAAACTTCTTCTTTTGAAAACACAAATTTGTTTTCAATAAACAATTCAAAAGCTATCCTACAAATGGTTAATACATATTTTTTATTATTTTCATTTGCCATCATTTCATAAACCAATCCATTGTTTTTTATAATGTGTTGTTGCAAAAAGTATAAAAAAATATTTGCATACAATTCTGTCATCGTTAAGAAAGAAGTTGTATATATTTTGCTTGAATCACTAATAATTTTACACATGGAAGATAAATAAAACGGAACAGTTGCCATAACTTTTGCAATTGGAGACTCCTTTAAAGTTGCTTTAACAACTTCTTTTTTTTCTTCTATAACATGATTTTCTACATAATTTTCAACACCATCTTGGTTAAACCCCATTATTTGAATGGTTAACTTATCAATATGCTCTGTATATATATTTTGGCATTTATCAATTGCATAAACTCTACCAGCAACTACATGTTTATAACTTTGAATTTCTGCTAAAGCATTAACAATCGGAAAGTTACAACTTAAATTTGGATTTAATAATTCATTTAAATATTTAAATTCATCTAATCCATCAATTATAAACAATGTAGTATGCTTACTAATATCAAAATCATTTAAAATATGTTTGTAGAAAACATTTAGTAATTCATTAATATTCGAAACATTTTGATATTGATTAAGCCTCCTGCATTCCAAATAAAACACAAGTTCAACATTATTCCAAATTAAATTATTCGACCAATCGAGCAAACACTTTCTGAGCAACCATGTTTTTCCAATACCAGCTATTCCAGATATTAATATTACTGATTTTTCGTTCATAAATATTTCACTATATGGTATTGGTGTATAACTCATTTGCTTTTCAAGAAATTGCTTTCGTTCAACGCTACAAACAACATCCATTTGAAGATTATGTGCATCAACAATACATAGATCAACAAATTTTTGTATTAGATCAACATAAGCAGGTGTTTTTAATAGTGGTTGAAGTTCATTTATTTTGCCATAATACTTTAGATAATAATTTTTTAGTGCTGTGCATACCTCTGATATATCTAAACATCAATTATCATCATCATCATCATCATCTGCTAGTAACTTTTGATTTATTTATTATTATTATATAATTGTTATTATATTATTAAATCAGTAATAATTAAAAAATAGTGTAAAATTAAATTTCTAAAAAACTTTTTATTTAAGATTAATTAAAGTAATAACTTTGAACTACTCTTATTACCTTTATTGACATGAACTCTGCTAGCAACATCTAGTGGATTTGAAGAATCTAAATGATAGTTATGCAAAAACTTTACTTTTTGCAATGTTTATCCTACACAACTAACACAACAAAAAGAACAAATAATGTTTACAAGTAACACATTATCAACATTTTGTACTACTATATTGTTTTTATCAAGTTAACAATAAAAAATTTTGTTAGGGTTATTTTTTTTCTTTGGTTTGTCTTAATGGTATGTCTTTTGTTGTATGAATTTTGTACTATCAACTAATTTAAATTTATTATTTATTATTGAATATTTAACTATTTTAAAAACAATGTCTTGAATTGTAACACTCACAAATAATAAAATGTTATAACACTGCATCTATGCCATTTTGAAAAAAAAAACTTGAACTGTTTAAAAAAAAGTTTAGGGTAATTGTGCTTTCATTAATGGAACCCCATCCTCTCCAGCCTGTTACCAAGCTGTTAGATATTTCTTGGTATCACAATAATGTCGATTTTACAGGTTGCTAAGTGCATATTAATTGTTTATTGACTACACATTGTCCATAGAGTTGAAATATTTGGAGCTTTTTTTCATAACACCATTTTATAATAAAAGTTATCATAGTTTTTATGATTGGTTTTTAAAAATAAATTTTTAAAGACAAAAATATTAAATCTATCATATCAATAGAAAAACAAATTTATTGATAATAACATAACAATTTTTATAAATTTTGAAATTAACTAAAATATGAATAAATATTACATGTCTATACTTTATTATTTATATATTTTTTTATTATTATTGACATTATTTATTATTTATGACAAAGTAAATAAATGCCTAATAAGTTAAGTAGTTTTGCAAAATCGCTATCAAACAGTATAGGTTAAAATTTGAATAATATGTTGAAAAATATTTCTTTTTATAGCTAGACTACAAGCTATTGCACAAAAAAGTAAAAATTAGCATGATTGTTAACAGCGTAACAATCTTTTTTATAAATTATTTTGTCTATTTTCTTACAACAAATCATGTTTTCAAAAAAAAAAATGTTTTTTAATAATATATTTCTAATAGAAAAAATAATATAAATATTTCAAAAAAAATTTTATTTCTAGTATTATATCAAATATTATATCGTAGTATATTTCTGTATTTTTAAATCTTTTTGACATAATGTTGTCGTAGATTTTCAAACCGTTTGTTTGTATACCGTTGTATAGTTTTTATTTCATTAAAACATTTTTTTTAGTCCGAAGGTAAAATTATAGGTTGTTTTGTTATTATTGTTTTAACTTGATGAACTTTTCCTTTAATTCTCAAGTTTTGACAATTAAAATTGAAGTTTAATTCTCAGTTTATTTTTATTAAAAAACAAGTAGGTAGAGTAAAAGCAATGCAGACACTCTTCACAAAAAGATTTAAAATTCTCATTAACTAAAAATAACTTTTTTAATATTGAGAATTTTTAAGATTTTTTTTCTGAAATATAGTTGTTTATTAGAGCAATTGAACAGTGTGAAAAAATCTTTAAAAATTTTAAGTTTCTATTGAAAATAAATTTCTATATTTTAAAAAAAATTCAGTATATTGGAAAATTGTCCCAAAAGCAGACAGTTTAAATTATATGAAAAAAACAGATAAATTGATAAATTCAATATCTTTATTTTTAATGTTAAAATATACACATGATAATAATATAAACAAATGAAAAACTAAAAAAAATAATAAAAAAGCATAAGCAAGCTTGAGCTTGAAATAAAAAAGAAAAAATTATAAACTAGGCTCTGCAACTTTTTGTGCAAACAGAAGCAGAGCTCATAGAGCCACAAACTACAACTTGATTTTTAACAAGATTTTCATAAAACTTGCATCTCAAGCTTTTCATTTTTAAAAAGAGCCCAGTGTTTTCAAAACCAGCTATAAAATGAATACAAGTGTAAGCTTTGTTGCTTTTAAACAACTGTGCATGTAGACAAAGGAAAATTTTTTTGAAAAATTGCTGAAACCACTTTCAGCATAAAATTTTTTTAAAAAATCATGCCAAACATTTTCGACATGGCAAAATACGTCAAAATTAAGAGACAACAGAATTTGAGATGAATGGGAACACAATTTAGTTAAATTTAATTTAGTTAATATTGTTTTCATTACACTTTAAGGCTACACTTAATGACATGTGTGTACTGAGGCCATATAAAAGTAAAATATGTTGACCACCAATATTTTGAAAGTGAGGAATAAATATTTCATCAAGCCACTGCAAAAATTGATTACTTTTTATCCAACCAGATGGTAATGTTGTGCAAAAGGTGTTAGATTAGCCTCTTTTAATCTAATCATTATAGAGTTGATTTGTAAACAACAAAATTTCTTTGATTTGTAAACAAAAAAAGGCGATAGAAGAAATCTGTCAGTACAATTAGAAACAGTCTAGTTTACTTTTTTGTTATTTCCAGTTAATACTAGTGGATGCTTTGACTTAGTCACCATTGAAACTAGTTTCGTCACAATTCCACAAATTCATGGCTTTACCAAAACCTATTTTTGCCAAACCAAAATGTTTTTTGTTGTAATGCGACTACCAACTACTGAAGTCTTATTTTATTTTTTGGAAATTGATTTTGGTATGGGGTAGAATTGAGCTTAAGCTTAACTCAGCATTTTCAATATTATCTTATGCTTTTTTCAATGTCTCCTCAGTATAAGGCTTCTCTTTTAGAGATTTAGAAATTAAAAAAAAAAAGATTTTTGAAATTGAAAATTGTACTTTTGCACTTCAAGAGTATAAGTGTATAAGTACACAATTAATCATGAAAGTATGAAAACTTGTTTAACCTAAATGAAAAAAATTCAATCAGTTTGAAAAAATAATAAAATAAGTTAACATAAATAAATTTAAAAAAATAGAAAAATAACAAACATATTAAGCTATTAACTATTAGCTATTATTATTACTATTAACTATTAGCTATTATTGATTATAGGAAGTATAGAGTCCTGTTTAAGATGAAAACTAAAAAAAATTTTTTTTTTCTGCTAAAACTTTTTAAAGCATTAATAGTTTAATTTAAAGTAATTTTTGGAAAATCTAAAACTATTTTTGGAATTAGGAAAAAAGCTCCAACAAAATTGCCTTTAAATTGATCTTTCATGCTAAGAACCTAACTTTTAAAAAAGCCTTAATTTGATTTTAAGAGTCATAATTTGTTTGAACTTAAATTTCTTATTAAATCAATTATTTTAACAATTTTTTTTTTTATATTTTATATTTTCCACATACTGAATGTTAAATTTTTTTTTTTTAATTTGCAAATATCTAAACTTTTAGTGAAGATATTTAGTTTTGCCAAAACTATAGATAAAAAGTCACTGCTAACAAAAACCAATTAAGTCTCTAAATAGATGAACTAGAAATTTTAATATAAGAATAAAATATCTTAAAAAGAAAATATTTTTTTTTCAAGTTTTATTTAATTTAGACTGTATTGTATTTTTGCCCATTGCTTATGTTGGAGTGTATTTCTGCGCAATGTTTATATTGTCATAAATTTCTATTTATACTGTCATGTATAAAGATTTATACTTTTGTCATGTATAAAGATTTAAACTTTTACTGTTAGCAAATCAGTTGTAGAACGAGAAGATCGAAATCCATATTGATGATCAGAAAGTAGGTTATGAGATTCGAGATAAGAGATTAAGTGTTTGTTAATTAAAGATTCAAAAACCTTGCTTATGAAAGGAAGAAGACTAATGGGATGGTAGTTAGACGAATCAGACCACTGTCTAGAATTTTTAAAAATAGGGAAAACAGATGCTGCTTTCCAGCAGGCTGGAAAACAAGACTCTGATAAGCACTTGTTAAATAGTTTTGAAAGGATAGATGACAGCTCCGGAGAACACTTCTGCAAGACTATAACAGGTATGTTTATTGGGCCGCAAGCTGTAAAAGAGTCTAAGCAGGAAATCACATTAGATACAGAAGCTGGAGTGATACGGATGTCGAGCAGTGGATCAACCTGTTTGACGGTTTTACAAATTTTACTATCTTAGTGTTGATGGTTATCTTTCTTTACAAATTAAAGAAAGATAACCATCAACACTAAGATCACAAGATGAGACAGCTGAACTCAAGTTAGTCTCACAAAGAGCTAGTATGTCTGGTGAACTTTGCAAGAGATAAGACTCAACAGAAGAAAAGTTACTTCAAAGACCACGAATATTGGTGAATGATAGGTTTAGTGAACTTGGTGATGACTGTGGTTTTTTGTGTTTTGTGTATTATTTTGAATGAGTTGCCTATTCATAAAAACCCATGCATCGAGTCAAGAAGATCCAGCGTTCAACATCCTAAACTGGAAACAATGTATTAAAAATACATCTGCGCCAGCCTAATAGATGGAGAAGGGGTGCGAGGCTGGTCAACAGATAGAATCTGTTTACCCCACAAGACAGCAGTCGGATGCATTTAACATCTGCCCAAGATGAGTATTTTTATTGAGACACCATCTCTAGCCTTTACTCAACCAAGAACCCTAAGGCAGGGGGTGCTTTATGTCGGAGTTTGCATCTCCTAGCCTTTATTTATTTAATTAACATAAGACTGATGTTAAAGGTCTGATGTTAAAATTTATTTAATTAACAAATGACTGATGTTAAAGGTCTGGTACTACCTCTAAAAATATTTTTGAGTAAATTATTTTATTAAATTGAATAAATTAAGGGTACGAATACATATGCTTTTTAAAGTATTATTTTTTAAACCACCTTGCACTGCTCTTACTTTGATGTTTTTAATCAGTTAATTTAACATCAGACTTATTAAAACTTTTAGCTTTATTAACCAATATTTTGTAACAGGTTCACATGAAATGGAAATGTACAAATCAAATTCAATCTTTTTTTTTTTTTCCACCCTTTTTACTAAAAATATAAAAGTCCAAAAAATGAGTTTTATTTAGCAGTATCTTTTAAGTGCTAAAATATTTTGATAAATGCTTAAAAACCAATTATAATTTATGATTGTATTTAAAATATAAAAACAAAAAATAAATAAAACAAAGCAAAATCTAAACCATGCAAGAGAAATGGAACAAAATATTAGCTCTTATTAAAGACAATGTTAAAGATTCTCCAGGAGTTTTTGGAGCTTCATTTTCGAGATGAAATACAAGATTTAGTGACCTAAGAATAGCCACTTTTGCATTAGACGAAATTTTCTACAATTGTTTCTAGCAACAGTGAATGGCTTGGCTCTAACACCACTGATCCTGCTGGCACTAAAGCCATTAACTTCTGCGTTTCTCAATCTCTTACTCAGATAGTTAACTTTGTGACTCGTTTTCCTGACAACCTTAATCATTTACCTTCACTCCTTGACTTATGTCTTGTCTCTGATCCTAGCTTATGTACAGTTTCTCCCTTTTCTCCCTTAGATGGTTCTGACCATGCAATGATCTCTATAAATCTTTCTTCTCGTACTTCTTTTTTGGGCTCACCTTATCATCGCACCACCAACTTCTACCCGAAAGCTGACTGGGATTCCTTTTGTGATTTTCTTCGTGATGGTCCTTGGGCTTATATTTTTTCTCTCTCAGCTGACAAATGCGCCTCCTACGTAATCTCCTGGATTCAGGCTGGAATGGAAGCTTTTATTCCTTCTCGTTGGTTTTAAGTCAAGCCTCATTCTACTCCATGGTTTTCTCCTTCTTGTGCGGCTGCTATATCCAATCGTAATCATTTTTTTCATTTATTTCAAAAGAACAACTCTCTTGAGAACAAACGACTATTTATTATTGCAAGAAATCGATGTAAAAAGGTGCTTTCTGATGCTAAACTACATTATTCTCAGTTCACTAAATCTCGCATCTTACCGCAGAAGTTAGGCTCTAAAGACTTTTGGAAAATCTTCAACAGCATTATTAACAAGGGTAGATCTAACATTCCATCTCTCATTCAAGGGACTGATCTTATTACCTCTCCCAAGGATAAGGCAGAACTATTTGCAAAACACTTTTCTATTAATTCCACTCTTGAATCTTATGGACATTCTCTTCCTTCTAATCCAGTCAAACAGGTTGACCCATTGTTAGACATTCAAATCACTCCAGCTGAGTCTTGTTTTCCTGCTTGTTGAAAAATGGCATCTGTGGTTCCAATATTCAAAAACTCTGGAGAAAATTCTGACCCCTCCAATTATCGTCCGATCAGTCTTCTTTCTGTTGTTAGCAAGGTCTTTGAGTCTTTGATCAACATATTCCTCACATCTCATCTTGAGTCAAATAAACTACTGTCAGACAATCAATACGGTTTTCGATCCTCTTGCTCTACGGTCGACTTGCTAACTGCTGTAAATGAAAGATTTTATTGTGCATAAGATGGAGGCGGTGAAGCTAGGGCTATTGCTCTCGACATATCTAAAGCTTTTGACAAAGTTTGGCATGTTGGTCTTCACCATAAGCTTGCTTCATATGGTGTTTCTGGGAAAGTTTTTGAGATTATCAAATCATTTCTTTCTAACCGGTTTATTAAAGTCATCCTTGAAGGCCAACACTCTTCTTTATTTCCAGTAACTTCTGGGGTTCCCCAAGGTTCCATCCAGGGCCCTGTTTTGTTTCTTATCTACATAAACGATCTTCCTGACAACCATTCATCTAAAGTAGTTTTTTTTGCTGATGACTCAATTTTATACTCCTGTCTCGACAAAAAGTCTTCTCTTTTCGATGGTCTAGAACAAGCAGCTGATTTTGAATCCCATCTCACTTCAGTAATAGATTGGGGTTCACAGTGGCTTGTGAATTTCAACTCTAACAAAACCCAGTTGTTTACTGCAAACAACTACCGTAATATGGTCAACATTCCTATATTAATGAATGGCAATCCTCTTACTGAGTCCTCCTCTTTACGTCTTCTTGGATTATCGCTTACTACTGACCTTTCATGGAAACCATATATACAATCAATTGCTAAATTAGCTTCTGCTAATGTTGCTTCTCTTTATTGTGCTCGCCATTTCCTTACTTTTGATTTTATTCTCTACCTCTACAAATCTCTTATTCGTCCCTGTATGGAATACTGTTGACATATTTGGGCTGGTTCTTCTAACGATTCACTTTCTCTTCTTGACAAGGTCCAAAAACGCATTGTAAATGTTGTTGGACCTGGACTATCTGTTAAGCTTGAACCTCTTTCCCATCGTCGTAAAGTTGCATCTCTTTCTCTCTTCTACAAATACTATCATGGTCACTGTTCAAAGGAGTTATCATCTCTAGCTCCATCAACTAAAATTCATTCTCGCTTTACTCATCATTCAGCTAAGTCTCATTCGTTTACTGTATCTGTCCCTGCATGCTCTAAAAACTTTTATTCATCTAGTTTTTTCCCCCGCACTTCAATCCTTTGGAACTCTCTCCCATCTTCATGTTTTCCTGACTCATACAACCTTCAACTTTTCAAGTCTTCTGTCAACCGTTTCCTTGCTCTATAACTCTGTTCTTTTTTTTCCTAGTACCTCCCAACTTAATAGTGGTTGCTTGCAGCCTTGTTGGGAGTGAATGCAAATAAAAAAAAAAAAAAAAAAAAAAAAAAAACAGTAAATAGATGATAGAAATAGATGGTAGACATATAGGATGAACAATCAAAAATTACAACCTATGGAATATTTATTTTTTTATTAATTTATAAATTGCTATACAAGTATTTATAAAATTATTATCTGATTTAAATTATCTGATTTCAATATTTATTGCAAATATAAAATATTCCATATATATAATTATAATGGTTAAACAATTAGAAGCCTTATTCATAACTGAAAAGATTAGGTTTAATTGTGATTGGCTATTGAACTAAAAAGTTATTTGTGGTTAGTAACTTGTGCAAAGTTGTGATGTTGCTTCTTCTAAAAATTATAATAGACATGGTAAATTCTCTTAACTTAGATAAGTATAACAATGATAAACAAGCTAACATATAAAAAAGCAACTTAATAAAGTTAAACATTTATTTAATAGTAATTAGATAACATAAAAATAGATACTTATTCAAAAATTATTAAATTTTTGTTTTATAGAAGTTACAAAGAAGAAAATTTTTTTCTTGTATTTAAATAATACAAAAAAAAAGTTTCATGTATATTATTCTAGCAACACTGTAGTAAAAAATATTTCTTTTAATATAAATTATAAATTCAATTTTATAAATAATTGTATATCAATTATAAATTGAAATTATTTATAAAATTAATTAATAAAATTATAAATAACAATTATTTATAAAATTAATTCAGGTCACAACCCAAAGTAAGGAAACGTTATTTTATAGATTGATTATCTGGTTTCAATAACTATTGCAAATATAAAATACTCAATATCTAATTATGAATGTTGAACAATAAGAAACATTCACAATTGTTAAGATTATGTTTCTTTATGGTTGGGTATTGAAATAAAAAGTTATTTAAAAACTTTGGCATATAAAGTTGCAGAATGGTCACACACAAGCAGTGAGCGTCTGAAGGAAGAAATGAAGTACATTAGAATAAAGCAGAATTATTTTTTGAACAAAGCATATTTTGACAGTTGTTAAGACAAAAATAAAGATTAGTAGAGGAATATTTAAAAATAATTGAGACAAAAAATGCACCCAAACAGTACTTACAATAATAATTTTTTTTTTTTTTTTTTTTTTTTATAAACACTTTTTTAAACAAATGAAAGAAGATATAAAACAAATATTTCACCAAACAAAAAGTTAAAAAAATAAAAAGATGAATAAAAAATAAAAAGTATGCTTACAACAATGAAAGGCTTCAGAATGAAAAAAAACAATAATGCTAATATGTAAATTAAAAACATTGTTTTTATATCACGAGTTGTATAATTGTTATATCACCCTAAAAAAATTTTAACAACTTATTTGGCTAAAATTTATCTGGCCTTATTAAAGAATTTAGTTAGCCTTACTACAATATTTTTTTAACATATTATTCATCCGCTCATTTTCATATTATTACTATTACCAAGGAATTTTTATGTTATATAATGTGTATATATTATAAATTGGTAAATTCTTTTAACTTAGATAAATATAACAACAATAAAATAAGGTAACATACAAAATGCAACGGAATGAGTTAAACAATAAGTTAATGATAAATAGCTCAACTATAAAATTCATAAAACTTTATAGAAGAAAAACTTATTCTTTTATTTAAATAAATTGATTTACTAAAGTGTTAATGATAATGTAATGATATTGATGGAAGTTTTTGTTTTGCTTTTAAAGTTAAATTATTTTATTTGAAGAAATAAAAGAATTTTTTGAAGCTTAATGAAGGTCTTCCTCTCAATAAATATTCAACACACTTTTCTAGTAAGCTTTTGATACAAACAAAGCACATTGAAACCTAATTGTTGCAATTTTTTTAAGAATATAGTAAAACTATATAAAATTCAGTAAGTTTAGATAAACCAAATATTAAAATTACCTTTATTGGCAGAAAATCCGAAAGATATTTCTGGTAAACTTGAAGTCTCTAAATGATATAATAAAGTTTTCCTTACAAACAAAAACTTTAAAATAAAATTTAAAGCTAAGAGCTAATAAAAATAGTTCTTTAATTTATGTAAACTTTATTTTCTTTTTTATGTAACAAATCATTACTTTATAACATTTTTAAAGCTTTAAATTATTTTACCATTACTAAAATTCTAAATTTTATAAAAGTAATATATAACGTGTTTTGTTATCAAATTTATATCCTTATACATATTTTACATACATATATAATATAAAACTCTTAACTACAACTTTGGTAGTACAGGGCTAGTAATATAGTATTTAAGTTAAATAAACAAACATACAACGTGTTTTAAACTGTAACTTTTTTCTTTTATCGTCAGGTATGTTGTTTTTTAAATAATCTTTTATCATCAGGTATGTTGTTTTTTTAGTCAGGTATGTTCTCTAGTATTAAATACATTCAGATACAACATGAATCATAACAAACAAGGTCACTGTGCAGAGAATTAAAAAAGCATGGCAGTACCAGAGACAAAAATTTATGAAGGATTTATTAGGATTTTTTTAAAATAAGGACATTGGTTATTATACATTCTGCATCTTTGTTTTAGTTTAAAAATAAAAAAAATGTTTTTTACTTTTTCTGGTCTATTTATAAATAAAGCTATAAAGTTTATAATAATATGAAAATAATGTTACTGTCAATCAAGGGTGGATCTATAGAGAGGCAATCATCCCCCCTCTTTCTTAGAAAGTTTTGAAACTTTATTTTTGTAAGTTTATACATTAAACACAGCAAGTTGTTTGAAAAAGGAAATAATATAGTTTGAATAAAATTACAATTTTAATAAAACTATGTTGAGCAAATTCAAAATTGTGCAATTACTTATTACAAATCATTAAATCTAAAAATTGCCCCAACCCCCCTTACTAGATTATCTGCACCCCCCAAATTAAAAAGTATTTAAAATCCCCCCTTCCCTTTTATGACATGGTCTGAATCCACCCTTGCTATCAATTATTAATTTTAATAAACAACATAACTATTAATGGATATTTTACGAATTACTAAACTTTAATTTTAAAATATTGACAATTATGTTTATTCAAGCTAAACTTTGTTTATTTGAATAAAGATCAAAAAATTTGTTTATAATATTATTTAAAATGTATCATATATTTTTTTTATAACTGGTTATATTTAAGAATAAAATCTTTTTTTACTTAACAGAATAAACGAAGGAAAAGTCCAAAATTAAAAATTTATTTTTAAAGGGATCCTCAAGTGCAAAGACAAGTTGTGTTCATATCATAGATAAATATTAAAAAATAACTTGTTACCATATTAGATAGAGGAAAACAAATGATTAGTTGATTTAATAAAGCTGGAGAGTTCGTACAAAAAAGTTTAAAAAAAGAAATTTATGTCGGTTAATGAACACTTTTAAAAATTAGATTTTAACGCCATAAAAAGGTATATAAACAAACTTGCAATCTTTGGAATCAAACAATGTCCATACAAGTTTCTTGCAAATACTTGGAACGATGACCCAACTAAATGGATATGAGTTAAATACTATGATGTTTATAATTATTTAATAAAACGTCCTAGAGTGTTTTCTTTTAAGGCTATGGATAATTACAAAGCGTAATATAGAAATGTTTTGTCTCTGGCTAGATGCAGTTTTTCACATATCGATCAGGCTTGGTCGGGAAGCGGGAGCAATCGCTCTTGATTGCTGACCACATAAAGAATATTTAGTTGCGAAAAGCTGGCCAGATTTTTTAGTTGTTTTAAGAACATTTTAAAAAGCAAAAAAAAAAGGGACTAAGATTAGTTGGACCGATGAGAGACAATTACAAAAAAAAAAACTTAATGCTAAATAAATTACATTTAGAACAAATTTTTTTGAAACATAGTTCTTTTATAATTTTTTTAATAAAATTATGCGATGTTTTTTATATAAAGTAACAACTTACAATTGTTTAAAAGGGAAACAAATATTATTTATTTAACTAAGTTTGCAAGTTTTAGTTTTACTTCAGCTAAATTATTTTATAAATAAAAAAGTTAATTTTTTTAATACCTATTTTATGTATCGTGTAGTTTGAAAAGTTTAGCATACTTGAAGCGATTCTTCTTAGTAAGAAAAACAAATAAAATATTTAAATCATTGAATTACTATAGGAATTAAATTATCATGATAGAAATCAACTAAAAAGGTTAAAAATACTTAATGACCAGGAAACGAAACTGTTTCACAATATCGCTGATGATGTTTAGTGAGTGGGCTTTTTAATTTTAATTAGTATTTAAAGCAGAAAAAAGTATAATGAGTTTTAAGAATGGCAACTTAAGCGAAAATAATTAGAGTTAGTAAACCAATACCTAGAAACTTTTCTCTATATCTAATTATTTGCTATATATATTTGTGTTCTGTTGTGACCTCAGGTGCGATGCTTGTTCATCCGCGAGTTACTTTGTATGCGTTGTTTGTGTTTAGTAACCAGAAACTTCTTATATGTTTGTTACATAATTAGTTTTATTACCTTTAACGATTATAACTTCATTGAAAACCCAATTATTTTTGTAAGTCTTTGTTTAAATTATAAAAATTGTTTTAAAAGATACATTACGATAAAGAACAAATACAAAAAAATTACATTTACATAAAAAATGCTATCTCTTTTAAAATACTTTTAAAACTTTAACAGTTTATTTAATATATATTTAAAACATTTATTTTCATAAACAAATAATATATATTCTTAAAACAATGCTAGAAATCTCAAAACGTAACAAATCGTGAGAAATAATACAATTTCAAAATCATTTTTAACAGAATACTCTAGAACTTTATTACGCTTAATCAGTGTATTTTTTGAACCAATAGAATTAATTTGTTCATTAATTTGGCGGGTTTTTAATGTTTTTAGGGTTTTTATATTCTTTTTATTCTTTCGCACATTGATGTTTAGAGAACATTCAAGTTTTTTATGTTTTCATGTATGTTTGTAAGACAAAAATTTTTTGTTTCGTATATAAACTTAAATGTTCTCAAAACGACTAAAAAACCTGACCAGTTTTACGCAACTAAATATAATTTCCGTGGTCAGTATTCAAGAGCGATCGCTCCCGCTTCCCAACCAAGCCTGGTCATTGAGCTTTAGTTTTTTTTGTTTTGAAAACACAAGTTTTCTTCTTAGTCACAAGAGTTGAATCAAGACAACAAAACCAGCTTACAAAACAAAAACATATATATATATATATATATATATATATATATATATATATATATATATATATATATATATATATATATATATATATATATATATATATACATATATATATATATATATATATATATACATATATATATATATATATATATATATATATATATATATATATATATATATATATATATATATATATATATATATATATATAAGACTAGGTCAGCCCAAAGTCGACAAACTATGTCTCTATAACCTTCGTCAAGTCAACACTTCATAAGTGGACAGATTTCCTTTCGACTTTACGTTTGAATGAATTTTAGTAATGATTAGTTCAATGGAAATTTTAGAAAAGATACCATTGTAATGTCTAAATTATACTCTAGAGATTTCTATGAAAAACATAAAAAAAACATATACGATCTATAAGTCGATAGTTAAGAGATTGCATTTTTTGATTGAAATATAAAGATATATTTATTATAATTTTTGTTTAAAATATAGATAAACTATTTAGTTAAAATAATATATGACCAGTTTAAAAAAAAAATTAACATTTAGACATTGTATAATATGTTATTTTTCAAATATAAGTAGACTTATTCTACTTGTAAATCTTGCGTCAAGTCAACAATAATAAATATATAGACTAGTATTTTAATATTTCTATGTTTTTATAATTTTTTTAAATATAAATATGTGTAGAAATGACAAATAAACTTTAAAATATGCGTATAAAATTTATTTTATACTATTTCTATGACATCAATTTGAAATATATGTGCATGCTTTAAAATCGACAAATTTACTATTTCTTTTTAAAAAAGCGCTTAATTGATCACTTATTATTTTTATACTTTATAAAAAAGGAGAAACTTATTTTTTGTGCCTTTTAAATATTAAAAAAAATATATATATATTTAAAAGGGGTATTTAATTCCCATATATATTTTGACAGCATGGTGTCTTTTGAATACTTTTTATTTTTAAAAGATTGCTTATAATTGGCAAAATGTTTTTTTTCCATTCACCCTCTGTTATGCTAATATATTGTTTATCAGGTACATTCTTAGAGGAAACAACACATTTATATACCACATATTTTGATAAACAACTTCCACTCATTGGAAAATTGTTTTTTTGGTTTACAATTACAATATTCTGTAGTTTTTTCATTTAGGATTTCTTTTTTATTTAACAAAACTTAATTGTGACCTTTTATAATTCTTCCCATATTTATTATGCAACTGTTGTTAATTTTAATTGTATTTTGATTAAAAAGTTTATGTAATTTATTAGAGGGCAGGAATGGCTTATCGACCGATTTTAAAAACACTTTTCCTATGTTACTGGAAACATTTTTGCTATAAGGGGGTTGAGCCAAATAACATTTCTAGTTCTGTTTCGCTTTTTTGTATTCTTTTTTTCCGTATTAAATTTGAGTTTAAAATATATAAAGTTTATAATTATTAAAATATATAAAATAATATATAAAAATTAATATTCAAGAAAATTTACTGAATAAAAAATCTGAATTAATTTCTAAATTCACACATGAAAATAAGTTCCCTTTAAAAAATTATAAAAACAAATGACCAGTCTAGAATTCTAAAGAATTCTTTTTATGATTATAACAGACCCCAACTTCCTGTAGTATATATACTTACATATATATATATACATATATAAATAAATATATATATATATATATATTTAAATTATCTTCGCTTCCAACAAGGTTGCAAGCAACCAATAATTAGTGTTGGAAGTTACTGGAAGAGAAAAGCTGAAGATTGTAGAGCAAGATAACGATTGACAAACGACATAAAATATTGCAAATTATATGAATCAGGAAAGCAAGATGAAGGAAGCGAATTCCAAAGAACTGATGTTCGAGGGAAAAAACTAGACAAATAAGAGTTTTTGGAGCACTTAGGAACAGTAACAGAAAAAGGATGAGACTTAATTAAATGACGAGTAACACGAGAATGAATTTTAGTAGATGACACAATTAATGTTTGGGGGTTGCAGGCCTTGCGATGAATAAGAACTGCGCGACACATAAGCACGACGTGATTTTTGACGTCATTAAATTCTTTTTATTTGCTTTTCATATTTATCAACATTAACTTCACCAATTTACTTAATTACCGCAAAACTACTTTAAATCGTTTATGTTATTATTTTAAAATTTTTTGGAATGTTTCGTTTTTTAAAATGTAAAAACATTTGTTTATTTTCTCGACGTTTGTCACGTTTTGTCTATACTAAACGAATAAAAAACATTTCAACTTAAATTAAAAAAAAATTTTAAATATGCTAATATTTGATTTTTTTTTTCTTAAATTTAAAGTTTTTCAAATAATTATTTTTTCTTTTTAAAAAGTCAGCGAGTAATAAACTGGAAATTTTTATATTGTACGATTAAAAACTGATATTTTTACAAGCGATTTTATATAATATTTATTTATTTTTATTTATTTTCATAAAGGGGTTGATAAGCACAATTACTCGTATTTATAAAAAACTTAAACGAACGTTTTGAATAGATTTTTAATGTTAACAAGGAATTTTATTTCTAGTAAAATAAAATAAAATGTTAGAATAAAAATCTTATAGGTATAAAAGAAATATTTCAGCGAAAAAATTATTCTTAAAAATTATTATTAAAAATTATTCGAAAAACTATTGACGTTTTATTTTTCAGCAGCAGTTCTTGAGCACGCTTCATTGAGTTTCGTTAATTTTTAACATAAAAGCGATCGTTATTAAAGTAATTTTTTTGAGTTACTTTTTACAAAGATTTTAATAACAGTACTTTTTTATTGAATCAAGTAGAATACGTTTTAATATTAATCCTTTTTTTTTATTTTATTTGCGCTCACCAATTTTTAAAATGTTTCCTCGAAATTACTCTTAAATACTTTAAATACGTCAAACAGTTGATAAATATTTTTAAATCTATGGAATAATTTTAAAACCTAACAAACCCCCGTAAAATAATTATTTAAGTTTAAAATCTAAAACTAAAAGAAAGTAATTTTGTTCAATTTTATCGACAACTTTGCTATTGCTGAATAATTTTATTAAAATGTTAGCTTAAAATATTTAAACTTTTTTTTTAATCTGAACTTTTTCTACTTGTAAATAATGAGCATATTTAATTTTTTTTAATTCAAACTTTTATTTCAACTGCATGCGGTTTATAAAATACTTTATTAAATGTTAAAATAATCGTAAATTACTTCATTAAAATTCGGCTCAAAAATATCTTTAAATATACTCAAACAAAAAATTTTTTGCTCGACGCAAATAGCCCTAGCTACACGCAAAATCGCTCTTGGACGACGTAAAATTCACATCGCTCGACGCTTTATCGCAAGGCCTGGGGTTGCTCACCCAGTCTTATAATTATGTAAGATTGCTTGAACACACAATTTTTCATATTTCTTATCACTGATCACATCTATTCTACTAATTATGTTAAGAATATTACCAATGTTTTATTATTTCCTAATCTTATTAGTCACTATGCATAATAGACTTTGTTATTTTTTTTAGAAAAATAATAAAATAAAAGTTGGCTAGAGTTAACAAACCCCACTGAAATACTTTATCATCTACTTAAGTTATTGCATCAGTATTGTAATTATGTCAAAATTAGTACATCATCCTGTAACTCTAAATGAGTTCATTGTCTTGAATAAAAATATATTTTAAAATAACATAATTCGATAGATATTTCAAAGTCAATTTATTATGGAGACTAGAAGTCAAAATGAAGTAAGGTATGTCAAGCTACAGCTGTGATCAAAGGAGATAAGTTGCCATCTGAAAGGCTAGTTTTGCAAATTCATTTTTTCTTTAAAAATAACAACAATATAAGAGAAAGTGCAGGCCTTATGACAGATCTGGTTATAGACTTTTGGCAAAGAGTTAGAGCTCTGAAAAAGCAACGTTATCATGTTATAACACATGTTGAAAAATTGGTTGACAAATATGGAAAACTGAAAAAAAAAAATAAAGGCTGCGAAACAGAAACTCAGCAAAAAAATAAAGAAACTTTTTTTCAAGAAACTGAAGAACTATTTGATATTGCTCATGAAGGTGCTTTAAAATTAATCACAATAAAAGAAGACAAGACATTTCTTGTACAACAAAGAGCAGGATAAAAAGGTTACATGAGTTCAGTTAATTGTAAATTGTTCAAACAAGAACAGCATATTTTAGACAAAAAAAAGCAAATGAAGAAAGAGAAACAAAAGAGCAAAAACACTACTAATTCTTGATAGAGTATTTTGTTAGATATTTGTAATTAATAAGGTGAAAATAGTTATGGAAGACTTCAGGGACCAGATCATTTTTGAGTTTAAACATGAACTGAAGAATGTAATATATATTTTGTTTGCAGATATTAAGAACTCTCAGTTCCCTCATTAAATGTTTAAAATTGGAATTTCTATTAGCGTTTGATAATACACGGCACGCTTCTCTTTGTTACAACTTACACGTGCTTTATAAACTGTGTATTGATATTGCGCAAAAATCCTGTATAAGACTTATTCTTATTCAATATCAAATTATGGTTACACTTTTATCTTGAATATTTTTTATTTTATTGTGAGTTTGTTTGCCTTAAATTCATACTTTAGTACTTAAGAATAATGTCACTTATAAAATTTTCATCTCCTAAACTTCTTGCACAACATGTTTTATTAATTTTCTAAAAAGTATATCAGCGTACTTTGTTTAAAATGTAACAAGTTTGTGTATTTGGCTGAACAGTAGTATGTCATCTCAAATGTTGCAATTATTTTGCAACATGGGTTTTTTAGCAACCATTGTTTTAGTGGAACTGCAATTAAAACAATGGCATTATAAAATTTTATTATATTATAAACACTTATTAAATTACAACTTTTGTAATTTAGTAAGTGTTTATAATATAATAAAATTTATATTATAAACACAAATTTTGAATTGGAGTTCATTGGTGTTGTGTCAAAAACCACTATTAACAACATGTTAATAGTGGCTATTCATCAGCTAGCCACTTTTGGTGGCTGCCACTAATGGTCCACTAAGTAACCAATAAGCAAAATTACAGTGTGCTGCTCAAAATGCCATATAAATCAACTCAAATTCTTCCATAAAATGTTTGCAAGGTAGAGTTATCAACAATTCTTTAGTTTAGTTATCAAACTGCAAATAAAATTAAAATAGGATTTCATTTTTTGTATATAGTTATGTAAATGTGTATATCAAATCTAATGTCCACATAACTTAAAAAAAAAAATGAATATCTAATATTAATTCAACAAAGTTTTTAGTTGACTCTTATTTGCTTCATGTGTGGCCTAAAAACTATCTGTCAGACATCCTTTAAGTAACATTTCCCCACGACCCTATGTTTCATAATTTAACAGGTTAAAGAGTGCTGGAATTACCAACAAATAAAAAGAGTAACATTTTTGTATATTGACACCCATCAGCCTTGGAAAGAGAAATACTGAAAAAAATGGACACGCAAAACTGCTAGATAATGATGTTAGATAATGATGTTGATGGGTTTGGCATTGATGGCTGTTTGATGATGCCATCATTGCCATTGATGGCAATGATGATTGTCGTTTGATGGCAAATTGCTTGCCATTGGTTTGCAGATGGCAATTAAATTGCAGATGGCAATTGATTGCCATTGATGGCAAATTGCCATTGATGATGCCATCAATGACAATTTGCCATGATGGGTTTGGCATTGATAATATTTTTACTACACTATATAATCATTGTCAGTGATAAGTTCTTCTATTCTAGGTTTGTGTAGTTTTACTCAGAAAACTGGACGAAACAGAAAATTTTTTAACTTGGTGTCTTTCTATACTTAGATCAGCTTTAGTAAATTAGGGCACAAGGTATTTAAATATTTTTTTCAATCATTCCACTCTTAATCAAAATTACTTTAAACTAATTGAAGTTTTTGGTATTTCTTAACTGATATTTTGTATCATTTTTAATAAAAAATATTTACAAATTATATTTAACTTTTATGCTTTGTTATAGATGCTATTTTTATAGAGAAAAAAGAAAAGATATATGCACAAAAGAAAACAAAGTTGTAATTAAAAAAAAATTTTTTTATCAATTTTAATAAAAAAAATCTATCTCATATTAAATATAATATAAAAATAATTACTTGTGAGTTCATCTACTTTTTTTATTAGATCCATTCTATTCATTTTCGTTAGAGCATTTTTAAACTCATCAAGTGTTGGATTGCGGTTCATTTGTATCCATTTAGTTAACATTGAATATGCTTTTGCATTAATTCTTTTATTTTCTTGATCAATCATGTCTAAATAATTTTCTTCAATATTTAACCAACGCCCAAGAGTTCTCCAATCTACTCCAACACTATCACTAAACTTTAATTTAAACGCTTGGCTAAAAATAGTGGTTTCATCTTTTTTGATCCATTTTGGTTGATCCATTTTGATGTTTCTACAAAGTCTCTTTAAATATTATAAAAACCTAAAGCAAAAAAATTATAACATTTGAAGAACTTGTTTTGACAAAATATACTGACAAAACGATGCTAATACCAAATAAAAGAATTCAAATAATTTGTAAATCGCCTTAATTACACCGAGCTTTTGTATTAACTGTATTATCTCTTGTATAGTACATACAAGACACTTTGTTGCGGTTTTTGTACTGGTTTTACAGGGTCTTAAAACTTTTGGGAGTTATAAAAAAATTATATATTATGGTTTTAAACTTCAATTTCACATTTCAAAACATTTTTTTCTTTCTTTTTCTCAGGAAATTAGGAATTGAAGTTCATTAAATAAGATTTTTTTTTTTTTTACTAAACATTATAAGAAGGAATATCACAAAATTAAATATATATAAATATATATATATAAATATATATATATATATATACATACATACATATATATATATATATATATATATATATATATATATATATATATATATATATATATATATATATATATATATATATATATATATATAGGCTGTTATTTAATGAAAACCATATTTATTCCTAAATAATTCAGTCAAAAATGTATACCAAAGTCTATTTAAAAATTAAATTTTGTATTTAGAGTTAAGGTTTGTGCGAGTGTCAGTGATGATTTGAAGTTTTGATGATTTGAAGGTTGATCCATTTAGATTTATGATACCAGGATATATACAATACACATACATATACATATGTAAATGCGAATGTATATAAAAATATATGTATAACATACATACATACATATATATATATATATATAATATATATATATATATATATATATATATATATATATATATATATATATATATATATAACCGCAAGCCTTCCAGGAAAGGCGTACGGTTTTTCATTTTGTATGACCACACGCGATAATAATATTTTAGAAAACGTGAACATGGTCGTTTGCAAGTTTTATAATAATGCTGAAAAAGTTTCAAAAACAAAAAAACAAAACTAACAAAATAAAAAGAGATTGAATTAGAAAAAAATTAAAACAAAATAATAATTTAAATACTTTGTGTACTGTTTTTATTTTTGTTTCTTTAGAGTTACATTCAGCAACAAAATTAAATAAGGCGAAGAAAAAATAAAAAACAGTTTGAAGTCTACAATAAAAAGAATGATTTTCCTTTTCTTATTTTTTTTTAAGAGGATAGCAAAAATACTAATTGCAATGTGTTTGTAAAATTTATTTGTATAATTTTAATGTAGCAACAAGGGTTGAATTAAGCGAATGCAAAACGCAAAATCTGGAAAAATATCTAGTATTCAAAATTTTAGTTTATACAAAATCTTGCTCCTTGTTTTTAATGAGGGAATCAACTTAAATTTGTTAGCGAAAAAAAAAACAATAAACTTACGATTACAAAAGTAACAACACTCTAGTCACTAACTGCATTACAAAAGTAATAACACTAAAATAGTGTTAACACTTTTATAACGCACTTATAACTTTTAAAATTCATTCTTTGTTCAAGCAACATTAGTATTCCCAAATTTTAATTGAAGTAGAAAAATATCTAGAAGAATAAAGTGGATGTTCAAATAATATTAAAACTAAAGTAACTAATAAAAACGTTACAAACAACTTTTTGAAAACGTATCGTATTAAATGTTTAGCATTATGAAAAACGTTACTAATAGACCGTAAAAACACGCGTTAATTTTAAAATTAACCAATAAAAATATTTTATTGGTTGATTTTAAAATTAACGCGCGTTTCAACGTAACATTTTTCATAATGCTATACTTTTTATAAAGTAACGCTGTTTAAGCGATATGTAAAAGTTCCTGAAATTTTTAATAATATTTGAATATCCGCTTTATTTTTTCTAGATGCTTTTCTACTTTAATAAATGTTTGGAATTAATAATGTTGTTTGAACAAAGAATGAACTTTAAAAGTAATAAGTGCTTTATAAATGTAAAAACACTATTATAGTTTTATTACTTTTATAATGCAGTTAGTGACTAAAGTGTTATTACTTTTGTAGTCGTTTATTGTTTTTGTTTTATTTTTTGTAACTTTCTTGCTAGAAAATTTTTAATAATTTGCTCCTTGTACACAAAGTACACAGCTTTGCATGAACTAAAATTTTAAAGACCTAACATTTTACCAGAGTTTGCAAATGCGATCGTATAATTTAACTCTTGATATTAACTTGTTACATTATACTTATACAAATATATTTTACAAACAGATGACGATACATATTTTCTCTTTCCTCTTTAAGCAAAAAAACACATAAAATATGGAAAAAATCATCCTTTTTAACGCCTAAACCTGTTTTTTTTTATTTTTTTGCTTTTACTTAATGAAATTTGTTGCTAATAATAATAACCACTAAGAAAAAACAAAAATAAAAACAACACACAAATTATTTAAACTATTATTATTGTTTTTAATTTAAGTTTACTTTAATTTCTTATGTAGTTATTATATTTAAAACAATTTTTCAGTAACGCATATATAACTTGCGCAAACGGCTGTGATCACGTTCTCTAACCTGAAAAACGTTTGCGTGGTCATACGAAAAAAAAAACGCAAGCCTTTCCTGGGAAGGCTTGATATATATATTAGTCGTGGAAAGGCAAAAAGTGTAATCGAACTCTATTCCTGACCACGCATTTATTTTTTGCGACAACTTAACCACTAAAAATATGAAAACGTTTGAAAAATGCGCTAAATATAAGGTAATAAAGCAAGAAATAGCTTTTAATGATTGTTTACTATAAAAAACATTTATTTAAACTATTGAAAGATATTGTTAAAAAGTGTATTTTTTATGATGAATATAAATATTTTTAAATAATTTTGTACAATAGATTTTGAAAACAACACTGAAAACAATTTTGCAAAAAAACGCTTGGCTCATAACAGGGGTTTCATCTTTTTTGAGATGTGTAAAAAGTTGACACATCTTGATGTTTCTACAATAAAATAGAAGAACTATGATACCAGAATATATTTAATACAGTGTATTAAATATATCCTGGTATCATATATTTGTATATACATATACATATCATATATTTGTATACATATCATATTTGTATATATGTATCATATATTTGTATATACATATGCGTATTTACAAATGTATGTGTAATACATACATTTGTAAATGCATATGTATATACAAATATATATATATATATATATATATATATATATATATATATATATATATATATATATATATATATATATATATATATAATATATATGAATATATACATATATACATATACATATATATATGTGTGTATATATATATATATATATGCATATATATATATATATGTATATGTATATATATGTATATATATATATATATATATATATATATATACACGGAAGCAGGAGCGATCGCTCTCGATTGCTGACCAAGTAAATTATATTTAGTTACGAAAAACTGGCCAGATTTTTTAGTTGTTTTGAGAACATTTTAAAAAGCAAAAAAAAAAAGCGCAAAAGAATAATTGGACCGATGAGAAACAATTACAAAAAAAAAAAAAAAAAAATTACGCAAATAAAATATGTTTAGACGCAAAAAAACTTAAAGCTAAATAAATTACGTTTAGAACAAATATTTTTTGAAACATCGCTCTTTTGTAATTTTCTTTATAAAATTAAGCGATGTTTTTAATATAAAGTAACAACTTGCGATTGTTTAAAAAAGAAACAAAAGCTCTTTATTTAGCAAAGTTTTAGTTTTATTTAAGCTAAATTATTTTATAAATAAAAAAAGCAATTTTTTCAATACCTATTTAATGCGTAGTTTGAAAAGTTTAACATATTTGAAGCAATTCTTCTTAGTAAGAAAAACAAATGAAATAATTAAATCATTGAATTACTATAGAAATTAAATTAACAAGATAGAAATCAACTAAAAAGGTTAAAAATACTTTATGACGAGGAAGCGAAACTACTTCACAATATCGCTGATGATGTTTAGTGAGTGGGCTTTTTAATTTTATTTAGTATTTAAAGCAGAAAAAAGTATAACGAGTTTCAAGGATGGCAACTTAAGCAAAAATAATTAGAGTTGGTAAACCAATATATAGAAATTTTTCTTTATATTTAATTATTTGCTATATATATATTTTTGTTCTGTCATGACCTCAGGCGCGGTGCTTGTTCATCTGCGAGTTACTTTGTATGCGTTGTTTGTGTTTAGTAACCAGAAACTTCTTATATGTTTGTTACATAATTATTTTTATCAACTATAACGATTATAACTTCATTGAAATTGCAATTATTTTTGTAAGTCTTTGTTTAAATCATAAAAACTGCTTTAAAAGATTTATTACGATAAAAAACAGATACACAAATTTCATTTACATAAAGAATACATACTTTTTAAATAAAAAAATAAGAATATACTATCAAAATCTATAACTTATAATAAACTTTTGAAATTTAGGCAATTTGATATATGTTCAAAATATTTATTTTTGTAAACAAATAATATAAATTTTCAAAACAAGCAAACTAGAAATCTCAAAACGTAACAAATCGTGAATATGACAATTTCTAAAACATTTCAACAGGATACTCTAAAACTTTATTTTGCTAAGTCAGCGTATTTTTTGAACTAATAGAATTAGTTTCTTCGTTAATTTAGCGGGTTTTTAGTGTTTGCGAATATTTTCTTTATTCTTTGGCACAAAGATGTTTTGAGAACATTCAAGTTTATTATGTTTCTATGTATGTCCGTAATATATATATATATATATATATATATATATATATATATATATATATATATATATATTTGATATATATATATATATATATATATATATATATATATCAAATCATACATCAAACACAAAACTTGAAATTTGAACTAAGATAGTATCCATTAATCAAGTGGCGTATGAAGGTTTTTAAATGTTTGAAATACTTATACAACTTATAAAAAAAAATTACTGTGATAAGAGAATGGGAACAAGAAACCCTAAAATCGCCTCCTCTTATATTCTGACTTATATTCATCTGAAAATTTTAAATTTCATAGTAAAATATTTTGGTGTTCCAAAATTATGACCATATAAAGTTTGCAACCCCTTTAATTGAGGGGGGTTTGAACTTTACATGGTCATAGTTTTGGAACACCAAAATATTTTACTAAAAAATTAAAAAATTTCCGATGAATTAAAGTCTAGTTAAAGATAATACAAAAAAGATTTCATCGTCTTGTGGAGAAATACTTTTTGTACTATTTTCAACCAAAATAGTACAAAAAGAGTAGAAATTTTAGGTCAAACATTTGTAAGTGGAAAAATTATTAGTTACAGAAAAAAATTATTTAAAAAAATCAATTCCAGTTAGTAATGTCAATGACTTGTGAAAAAAGCTTGAACTTCATGCAAAACTTTCTATGACTTCAGTACGTAATTGATTACGCCTATTTGGTAATTTTTTGCATAAGTTTTTACCTTTTTTTAGCATGCTAACTAATGGCAACTATATACTTTACAAATTTGTATATAAAAATCAAACCATCATGTTTACATCTATTGTCCAATGCCACGGTAAAAAACTCCAATTAGACAAAGGGTGATGACTCATTTACATACTTTGGTGTCACCAGCCTAATAAAACAACTATATCCAAAAAGTATAATAAGCCCTACTGCAGGACTGACAGGAACATTTGACTCATTACATCTTAGATATGTGACCTTTCTATTTGCCATTAGGATTTAACAAACTTTTAATGCCTTTTTCTCAAGTAAAGGCATGGTAACAAGATTAATGGAGCATTATAATAAATTTAAACTTTTCAAAAACTGTATTTTATTTTACAGAAATTTATTTTTTACCAATAACTCAATTTTAAGTGAGTTATAATTAATAATTAAAGCTATATACTTTTTAAGTAGTTTTAATACATAATAAAAATAGAAGTATGGATGTCATGTCATACATTATATAAATTGTCAAATGCACTTTCTTACAAAAAGGTATCATACTCTAGTTATCAAACAAAAAGTTGACAATTTTAATAAATCTTGCTGAAATTAAATATTTTTAATATAAAATATTTAATTTTAGCAAGATTTGAAATTGTTGTTATTGCCTTCCATCATGACTATTTAATGATTTATTTTTTTTATTTTTCAACCAGTCTTGACACTATATTAAACTTTTGTTTTTCAGAAAAAAGTGTTTAACCTAATAGTATTAGGTTAAACACTTTTTTCTGTAATTTAAGATTATTTTTTCAAGTGACAGACAACATTTTACTGTATTAGTAATACAGTAAAATGTTGTCTGTCACTTGAAAAAATAATCTTAAATTACAGATTATTAATTTATTTTAACACAAAAAACTGTAAGTAAATGAAGTAGTGGCGTTAAAGCCTTTCTTTATCCTAATTATATTTATATGTATATTTATATTAAGGTTTATTTATAATATTTCAATATTAGTTAGGGTATAAAAGTATAGTCTCCGTTATAAAAATGATTTGTTTTATTTTATTATTACAATAATATTATTAACAAGTAAATAAATTTAAATATTTAAACTGTTTATATAAAACTTACAACTATTCAAAATTCACAATGTTTCAATATTATAAGCAAGCAGACTTGTTAACTCGTCTTTCTTTTGATGCCGAATTGAAAAATGAAATCGTTAAAAGGTCTATTACACAATCACAATTATTATTGGACGTTAAAACAATACCACACACCCATTTATTGAGAGGCTTCTCTTATTACTTCTTAAGTTACACTTCTGCGATTTATGAAGTGGCGGATTAAGACTTCTTGGGGCCCGGGGCTATTTTTATTTTTGGAGGCTTTTTTATGGGCCAGAATCTAAAAATGACTAAAAAAAAGAAGGTCCTCAAAATTTTTTGGGGGCCCTTAAATTTGCGGGGCCTGGGGCTATAGCCCCAGCCCTTCCCCCCATCTTTAATCCAGCACTGGATTTATGTCGGAAACCCTATTTGTTAATTCCGGGTAAATACAAGAAACTTATTCTGAGATCATTACTTTTTGTTTATATAAACAAAAAGTAATGAAATTTTTGAAGATATCTATAATTATAGATATTGTAAACCAAATATAATTAAATGTACAGAATTTGTATTTTCTGGCATTAATACGAAAGATGTATTAATTTTTGAAAAAAGGAGGCTAAAAAGAAGTTTTTAAATGTTATTAAATATCTCTATTCTTCAAAAATTTCTTTCTTAGAAAGAAACTTTTCAAAGAAATTCTTCAAAAATTTCTTTCTTAGAAAGAAATTTTGAAGAATAGAGATATTTAATAACATTTAAAAACTTCTTTTGAGCCTCCTTTTTTCAAAAATTAATACATCTTTCGTATTTTACATTTACAAATTAATACATATTTCGTATACAAAAATTAATACATTTTTCGTATTTCGAATAGAAAGTTTCTATTCGAAATGTCTTTCGTATTATTGCGACTAAATACCAATTATGTATGCATAATTTTATTTGGGTTACAATGTTAGTTATATTAGTTTAGTTTATTTTATTTGGGTCATTTTAGTTCGGTTATAATAAGTAGGGTAGACGATATTTCGTCTGACATTTTTTTCTCTTTTACTTTATGCAGTCAGCAGGGTCGGGTTTTGAAGTTGGAAGCACGGTGATTTAAGCCTGATATTTTATTGTGAGCATGCGCACATTTGTTTTTTTTTTTTAATTACGGAAAAAAATGGCGAAGTAGTTTTTATCTAAATAACTAAAATTCGTTGATTTAGTATTTTATTAAACAATTACTTATTCCTCGTGTAAAAACCTGAACTATATATTTTTAAAGTCTTACATTCTAGAAGGTTTTAAGTAAATCATAAAAATAAATAAGAATCTTTGTAAACAAAGAAAATTTTAATGAGCAAAATGTAAGGTTTTTTAGATAAAAAAAATAAAATATCTGTTAGCTAACTAGAGGGATATCTTTTGTTTGAAAATTTTTTGACTAAAAAGTTCAATTGTTTTAAATTCTATAAATCATGCCTAAAAATTCTATGCCTTTCGTTTTAACCTGTCATTTTTTTAAAAAAAGTTAACTGCATTTAACGGCAGGCTGGTAACATTTTTTGCGTAGTTTTTTTAGCTTTTTAATGGAAGAACTTTCTACTCTGAAAGCCTTACATAAAGTTCAAGTTAACCTTAAACTTACAATGCGTGCACGTTTTAAATCAAGAATATTATAATGTGTTTACCAGAACACTCTGATACTCAGAACAAAGTTGAATGTGTGTATATGTATGTGTATATATATATATATATATATTATATACACACATAAAAATCAAAAAAATTTTTTTTTTTTAATTTCTGGCTTCATTGCTTTAGCTTTTGGATGGTTTCTTACATAATGTTCTTTCACCATGCTTTTCAAGCGGCTACAACCTTTCATATGACAAAACAAACGATTAAGATTGTTAAATTCAGCATGCAAACTTTCTCCGCCTTGTTCTCCATAAACTCCAATGCCTAATCCCCATTTTTGAATAAATTGAAGAACATGTGTTTCAAGCAAATGCATCTTTGGAGTTACAGATGCATTTGGCCAAGTTGATCTATAAAATTCCATAAGATTACAGATTGCTGATTCTAAAATTAAATAGTTTACATGTTTAAAAAAAAAGCCTAATTGAATTTCTTTAAATAAATTCCTCAAATTCTAACTAAAAAAAGCAACCAATTAATGTTTTTCAAAATAACTATTATGGCATTAAAGAATATGCTAACTTCAACTACAGTTTGCGTAAAACGATTTTAAATACCTACCAAGTTCCTGAACATCATTTTCTTGAAATGATTGTGAGCTGTTCATCAAGTTATGACATTTGGAATAATATTGAAACAACTGTTTAAATTTTTGGCTCACATTAACTGAGAGTAAATGAACTTCTGTATCAATAAAACCAAGATTTGAAATCAGTTTTGGAATAGAGTTGCACAAATCTAGCAAAGGTTGAGGCTAAATTAAATATAAGTAAAATTAAATAATTTTGAAATATTTTTATTAACAAAACGCAGGGGTGGCCGATGTGTTCAAAGCAGTCTGAACAAAAAATTAAAAAAAAAAAAAGATTTTATCTGATCGATATAACCAACCCACCAGGTTAGGATATTTAATATAAAACATCTGTAAAAAAACCTTAAGCATTGTGTGAACATGGTTTCCAACAAAGCATTTCCCATGATAAGCCTGTCTTTGTACCTGATTAGCCTTTAAAATTTCATCAAGTTGCTGAATGCAGGGACCTGAAATTTTATCAAGAATGTTTGCTTCATTTAATGAATTTAGTTCTTTCATCTAGAAAAATATTTTTCTTGTTAAATATATGCTACAGAAACTGTAGGTAATTGTATTGTAAATTTTTGAAATTGATATATTTTTGGCTTTCTAAAATTATGTTAAATATAATTCTAACTAAAGTCTAAATTAAATTCATATTTTTTTTGTAAATAATAAATACCTTATCAGTTTTTTTTAAATCATAGTAAAGTATTCTTGGTGCATATACTTTCCTTATTTCTTCTGTTCTGTCTGGTTCACATAAAACTTTTAATGAAATTGTGTCTTGTAAAAGTGTAATTTTATTATCACAGTCCTCAATAACACTTTTTATAAGATTTGATTGAATATGCATATTAATGTATTTGTCAAAATCATCTTTACCAATTGTATTATTTTTTAGTGCAAGCTCTCCAGCAAGTTTGATATCTAACAAGTGACATTCATCTTCAAACATGTTAAAAAACTTCAAATAGGTTCCTAAAGATATATGTAAAGCAGGTACTGCTACCTAAAAATAAAATTAAACACTATTAAAAACACTTAAAGCCATACAAATCCTCAAAATAAAACTAAAATACAGTGCTAAAAATAAATTACCTGGTCTAGAGGAATGTGAAACAAAGTTTCATTAATCACATTATTGAAAAACTTAGCCTTTTTCAAATTTCCTCCACTACTTTGGAATCGATTAAAATCAATGTTTAAAGATTTTAGAGATCGTTGTGAAACACCATTCTCTCTACTAATTGGAGCCAACTGGATACTTTCTTTGGTTATATCACAAAAAAGACAGCAATGTCGACCTATAATACCATAAGTAACAGTATTGAATGGAGTTAAACAATTATATCTTTAAAACTTTAATTTTTCAATCTTACAAAAGTTTTTACTTATGATAACTAAAAAAAAATTATCATCAAATAACATAAAATTTCTTTAAGTACAGCAAACCTACCACTCGCTCCTGTGATTCCATATACACTGCAAAGGAAATCATAATCTCCAAATATAAAAACACGAACATTATGATTTCTAAAAACAATTAAAATATATTAAATTAACACAAAATATTTGAATTTTATTTAAATTATCAATGCTTATTTCTTTAGAAATAGTAACTTACTGCCATATCATTTTTTGTATCTCATCAACTTGTAATGTATATCGAGATAACCCTACTTTAAGATTAGTTCGGTAGTCTCTTGCTTCAAATGTACTTAATACAATACTATTTGATTTTGAGTTTGGTTGGTCTTGGTTTACAATTTGGTAACTCATTTTAAATGAACCACCTCCATGGTCTCCTCCAATTTTTATGTGTATTTCATCATTTTTTATTCCATCATGTTTTATTAACTTAAAACTAATAAATTTAAATAAAATAAAAATATAACATAAAAAAATACAGCTTAAATAGTTTTTTACAATAGTTTATATTTAGATTTTTAAGTAACAAATTTGTACAAATATCCATACCTTTCAAGAATATCTAACAGGTTTTTAATATTAGTGGGTAGATTGTCTATGTATGCCCAGGGAGCATGTTTGATTTCAAAAACTGACTTATTATTTTTATTTTGAAATGTAAAATCTCCATTTAATACAACAAGATCATTTCCTGCCCAGGTATTTGCAACTACTCTTTGTTTAAAGTTTGAAGCAGTCTTAATATTTCTTGAGTTTAACCATCTACAATATTTAGTAAATAACACTTATTCATTTTTTTCACTAAATTATTTTTCATACTGCTTACTTATATATGAATTATTATGTAAATTAATAAAAGCATGCATTTTTAAATATACACCTACATTCACTTAAATAATAAATCAATTAACATTAATCTCTAAATAATTAACACTAATAAATAAACTAACCAATAAATATTTAAAAAAATAATTTTACCTAGTCATAGTTTTTAATTTATTCCACGGTACCCCTACATTTGCTTTAAAAGCAACCAATTCTTCAGCAGAAAACTCAACAACTCCAATCTTAGCACTTTCTAAAACTTTATTTTTTTGATTGTGATCAAATGATTTAAGCATAACTGATGTTTGCACTACTAGTGAATCTTTTGAATTTCCAACTTGATGATTAGCTTGGTCCACTAGGTGTTTGTGTCTTTTTCTCAAGGTATGACCACTGCAAGATGCACTTTCCTTGTAGGCTTTGGGCATAACAGTTAAGCAAAGGGGCTTTAAAATAAAAATATATATCAATACATAAACCTAATATCAGCAATCTTTATCATTATGAATATTCAAAATTCCAGACAAGAAATTTTATAGTTTAAGTTTTATATTAATGTACTTTACAAATATTATTACTCTTACTCTTGGGCCACCAGATAAAAATTCAATTGTAGTTGTTTTTGAATTCTCCATTTTTTGTTTAATTACATGCAACACTGCATCTTCAATATTACGTGGAATATGACTTGACTTATCAACTTTAAATAAATCATCAACTATTGTGCTGGAATTATTTAATAAATGATCTTTTTTGCACTCATGATTTTCATACTTGTCTTTAATAAAGTTTTTTTTGCAAATCTTGCATGCAATATACAAATGTTCAATCATCTCCAATACATGAACAGAACTACAAAGGCTATTAATCATAATGCAGGTTAAACAAACAGGACATCTTGCTTCATTTTCTAGCTTACCTTTAATAATTGATATAATACATTGACTACAAAACGAGTGCTGACAATCTTTGATCATGACTGGTTGATGCATTATCCTCCCACAAACTTTACAAATACATAATGTTATATGTGGGTTTAGCTGAATATTGAATTCAGAAATTTCTTTTTTGTTTAAAGGTAAGGGCAAGGATTCAAGAAACAAGTTTATATTTAGTTGTGTCCATCTTTTAAAAACTCCTGGCCGTCCAACATTTGGAGATGGTTTTCGACCAACCTTACCATAAATACACATACACTCCTTTGTTGGACATTTTAACCAAATTTTTGGTTTAATCTTAGATAGTTTATTTCCTCGTGTTTCAATATTCTTCATAGTTGAATAACATTTTAGGCACATTTGTGGTGGATGAACCTCTACACAATCTTCTTTAGTATTTATTTTAAAAACATTAAATATTCTTTCAGTCCTACTGGCAGTTGTTAGAGAGTCTTTTCCTGTTAAATTTCCACAAATTCTGCAAACTCTTAATAACTTTTGTTGATGTTTTTCAGTCATCTTCTAAATAAAATTTTTGAAAAGTTTTTAGCTAAATAATGAAATAACATATTATAAAAAAATGACAGGTTATAGAAGTCAATATTTTTTGAATATCAATGAATAATACTTTTATTAAAAACTAATCCACATGTCATAAAAATTTTGCTTCGTCCATAATTGAAATGTATATAAAGTGTTATTTTAAACAATATTACTCTTTTCTGTTTTAACTATTGTAGTAAATGTTCAAACATAAATTTCACTCAGATTTTTTGCACAAAACAGCTCAAGTATATAAAATACTATTACATTTGTCTAATTATTAAAAACCTCATAAAAATTGGATTTAAAATGGAAACAATGTTGTAAGGTATTTATTTGTTTTTAACACGATAAATACAAATTTTAATATTGAATATTTTTATCAGACGCATGCGTATAATAAAATCTCAAGCTTGCATAAGTACTGAATCACCGTGGAAGGGGGGGAGCACAATCTTCAATTGGTGAAAAAAGTCCTCTATATCTTAAAAAAAATTTTCTTAAAAAAATTTTTTCATAAAAAAAAAAAAAGGTCTTTCAGAAAAAAAGTGCGGGAGGGCCTATGACCCCTGCCCCCCCCCCCAAGTGTTAACGGCCCTGGTCAGAAAAGAAAAATTTCGTTATTAGGTTTACGCATAGTCATAAGAATACATAGTCTGGAAACACGGACCGTTTCTATTATTTTTTTATTTTAACTTGAAAACTATGCGACGACCCGGTGAACCTGCACAAGCTTAAAAAAATGGCAGGTTTTATTAGCAATTTCAAGGAAAATGTTGATTTGGAATGTTTGTTTGAAATAGTTGAAGAAGGATTTTTAAACAATGACATTGAATTAATTACAGATATAAATTCTATTGTTTCTGAGGGTAATATCTTTACAGAAAATGTCAAGCAACATGCATGTAATCAGTGTCCTAAAGTTTACAAGACGATCAGGTTTAAATAGACACTCTGCATCGAAGCATATATTAGAGAACATTGATAAATGTTCTTCAAACATTAATAATACAGAAAATTCTTCAAATACAATATCCCGCTAAAACTTAAAAGCATAGTTGAAGAATGTGCAAGTTTATTGGTAAGGGATATGTGTCTTTCATTTGATATAATAAAGCACTTTTTATGTCAGAAAATTAGTCTATCAATAAATGATGAAAATCTTTTTAATGAAAATCTTTTTAAAGAATTAAATTCAATAAAAGAAAAATTTAATATGGACTGTTAAGTGAAAATTTACTAGTTTCACACTTCAGCAATTTAAGTTTAAAAAATACACTACTCACTGAAATGTCGTCTTTTATATTAAACTATCTTACTGGTGTAAAACTAAATTTTGTTAAAACTGTAAATACAACCAAGAACTTACCGATATAGAGAAAAGAGTTTACATTATCTTGTTGGATATATTTTTCAAATAGATATATATATATATATATATATATATATATATATATATATATATATATATATATATATATATATATATATATATATATATATATATGTATATATATATATACATATATACATATATATGTATATATATATATATATATATATATATATATATATATATATATATATATATATATATATATATATATATATATATATATATATATATATATATATATATATATATATATATATGTATAACTTGCATAACAAATATTAAAACAAAAAACTTTAAAATGATGTTTTCTGTGTAGCCATTTAGAACCATCAATTCAAATGTATAACTTAAAGTACATACAAAACTACATCTCTACCCCCTATTTTTATTTTTGATTATGAGAACTTTATGCTGATTATAAATCGTATAAAAACATAGCTCTGAAAACTCAAGCAAATTACTCTAATTAGATCTTGAAGTTTAAAATATTACACAAAAAACGCTAATATTCGCTATCTTTTTTAAATGCAACTAAACGCTTTTTTATAAATCTTATTTTAAATTACGCAACCCGGTTTTTATTTTCATCGATACTAAAATTTACATAGTTTAAAAAAAGTACAATTATTAATTATAATTAAAAAATAAACTTTTTTTTTACATAAATTACTCTTTATATTTAAAAAATTAATTAAACTTTTAAAGGTAATGTTGCAGAATAGTGGCATAAAATTCTGTTTGTTAACTTTTGCCCTCTTGCCCTTAGTTACTGATTTAGGGATAGGCGAGGTCTTCAGTACATACATCGACTGATTTAGGGAGAACTCGCAAGAGAGTTGATAACACATCGAAGGGTCAGGGTTGGGGCAGGTATCAATTTATACCATTATTCTTCCTTAAAGCCCTTGCCTATCTCTAAATCAGTAGCTACTAAAAAACAGTTTCGTTTTTTGTTGACAATAAAAACCAGGTTATGTTATTTTCAAAGTTTACTTTTGAATGAATTTTAATCATAACAGAGTACAAAAATAATGGTGAATAATAGCGTTTTTAGTGTAATTTTTAAACTTCAACATCAAATTAGAGTACTTTGCTTCAATTTTCAGAGCTATGTTTTTATACGATTCTTAATCAGCATAAAATTTTCTATCATAATCAAAAATAAAAATAGGGGGAAGAGATGTAAATTAACGCCACAAAACTTTAAAAAAAAAATAATTTTTAAGTATTCATAAAAATTTCTGAAACAGTATAACTATTAAATGAATTTTCCTTATCCTGCTTTCTTATCTTCCTCTCCTTATTCCTAATTTCTTAAGATAAGGTTGTTGTAAAACAGATATAAGTCTAAAATATTGAAAATGACCCTGAAAGTATAAAAATATCAAAAATTCACATTTTTCGGCAATTTTCAAGGCAGTTCCCTGGTAGCTTAAACTCATTTAAATTCAAATTTTTTGATATTTCTAAGTTTCATATGTTAAACCTCACCCTTTTTTAAAAAATGCCACTGGTAAATATGAATTTTTGAGTTTTGACCAAAGTATGACACACCCTAATGAAGGCGTGACGGGGCTTGTCACTCGGACTAGTACTGCGTATTTTTTTAATTTTTTTTTGTTCTCTTTTTTCAGAATTGTTAATCCTTGACTTTAATTTAAGTTTAAATTTTAGGTCCTTGGCCTTGACTTTACACCGCATGCTTTTGAATTATGAATTTTCTTGACTATTTTATAAACATTGTCATTTCATAATTTCTTCAACTAAAACTACAATTGACCAGTAGCATGAAGTTTTAATAAAATTATGAGGTGCAAATTTTAAGCAATGTTTTATTACAAAATAAAACATCTCTAAGACCTTGTAAAAAAAAACAGAATATATTTGAAACGTCTTTCTTGCTCTTCTCAACATAAAAATAACAAAGAAATAAAAGTATTATTGTAATAATCTCTATAAAATATGATTATAGTCTATATAACTAATACTGAAATATAATAATGGTCACAGAAAACACGTTCGCAATACATTACTTTTTCTTAGTACTAAGAAAAATTAATGTATTGCGAACATGCAATTTCGTGCCATTTTTTACTAAAGTCAAACATAATTGCTAAATCAAGTAAAAATTTTAATTGTTGATCATAAAATCAGACATCTTTAAACTGACTTTTAACATTTAGGATTATAAAAAAGTTTACAAGTTTTGATATAAAACCAACAGTTTCACATGAATCCTGTATTTCTGGATAAATCTTTAGTGCAGTTAATGTTTCAGCACAAAAAATCTGAAGACTTAATGCAACATTCTGTCATTCTATGGGTTTCGGACAGATAGACATATGATTGAGATTTGATAGTTTAACAATAGAATTTTTCTCCAACTCAAACAGTATTTTTAAGTCTATCCACTTAGCAGTTTCTTCAAGGCCACAGTCTAAATATTTTAACTCTTGAATTTTTTCAGTTAAACAAATTTTTTCTAAGAGATTTAATTAGATGGACATAATCGTAGAGCAAAAAAATGTTTTCAATGTCCTCTATGGAGAAATCAAAATGAATTTTTTAAAGAATGCTTGATTTAATCTATTATTATCACACAAAATTGTAACAGTATTGCCATTACACGAAGAAACTAAATTTATCATACCAACAACTTGCTCAAATTGAAAATCAGTACTTAAATGATACACTAGCAGAGCTTTGTAAAAAATATTTTTACCTCCAAATAATGAGCAAATTGTAAAACTTATAACAGTGGTTACAAAATGTTTTGGATTATTTACTGCTTTTCCAAATAAATTACCGCCTTGATATGTTTGTTGTGGTTTTGCATAAACTTCGTCAATTATAATAATGACATTTTTTTGACAAGAATCTTTAAGATGCATAAAATATTTGTTAAAGAAATCAACATGTTCTAATTTAGCAACGTTTGATATAAGTATACCAAATGTTACAATACTTGGCATTTCATAATCATCTTTAAAACGATTTTAAAGAGATCTTGAAAATACAAAATACTCAAAAGCCCTACTTAAAATTTCTAGTGAATATTTTTTATTACCAACAAATGTTAATACATACATGCTAATAACTGGTTGGCTTTAATAATTTGTAAGTAAGATAAAATTTTATGTATTTGATTACTGCATAGTGGTTTAATCGGGCATCTAGATCCACAATGAAAACCTTCAAATTGCATATTCATTTTAATTTTTAAAAGAAACTGTCGAACGACAGAAGTATCGATATAATTTTTATAGTAAATATATTAAACCATCATCCACTGTAAAGGATATTACTAGAAAAGTAATATTCTCTTTGCTTACTTTTTTGCAAAGGTCATCAAAACAATTAATTTTATACAAATCCAGTGATATAAAATTTGATCATTTCAAAATGATACGATTTATAACATTTTTTTACAGGAGTTATTTTATTAAATAATTTTTCCTCAATATTTATAAAATAGTTATGCAATATCTATTGTCCTATTGGCTATTGTTATTATTAGCATTAAGTGCGTTGAGATATAACGAAGTTTCAGGATACAGCATTTTTAAAAAACTTAAATTTAGTTCGATTTAGATTTTTACAGTTGCATTAAAATTTGAAAAATTAATTTAGAGTAGGAAATAAATTTATTTTTATTCAGACATTTTATTTTATTTTTTATTTTTAACAAAAGCAGCTTATTACACTAACATAAAACATGTTAAAAATAAATTTATAGACATGACTTTTTAGTCAAAGTTTTCTCGTCTTACTTCCAAACTCCGTACATTTAAGTCACCTTTAATAATATTATAGGTGACTTAAAACCCTTATTATAATATTGTGAACCCTTTTTATTAATTTTATTGTAATAAAATTGAACCCTTATTGCAATATCGTTTACAATAAGGGTTACGTTTTTGCCGTAAAATTTTACCCTAAAATATTG